TAGATCACTAACTTACACCACTCACAAGAATTAACTCCAAATGGTTTAAAGATTTAAATGTAAGACTGGAAACCATAACACTCCTACGGGAAAAACAAACAAACAGGAGAAAGTTCCTTGACAGCGGTCTTGGTCTCGAAATGATTTTTTAAATGTGACACCTAAAGCACAAGCAACAAAAGTAAAAATAAGCAAGTGGGACTAAGTCAAACTAAAAAGCTTCTGCACACCGAAAGAAATGCTTAACAAAATGAAAAGGCAACCTATGAAATAGGAGAAAACATTTGCAAAACATATATTTAATAAGTGATTCATAATATTTGATTCCAAAAAAAGAGGTTCATAATATTTGATAAACGGTTAATATCCAAAATATATAAGGAACTGTTACAACTCGATAGCAAAAAAAAAAAAAAAAACAAATAATCCGACTAAAATATGGCCAAAGAATTTGAAATTTTTCTACAGAAGATATTCAAATGGTCAACGGTACATGAAAAGATGTTCAATGTCACTAACCATCAAGGAAATGCAAATCAAAACCACAATGAATATCACTTCACACCTTAAAAAGGCTATTACCAAAAAGATGAGAATTAACAAGTGCTGGTCAGGATATGAAGAAAAGGGAATCCATGTAAATTGTTGGCGGGAATATAAATTGTATAGCCACTATGAAAAACAGCACAGTTTCCTTATAAAATTAAAATAAGAACTGTCACGTGATCCAGCAATTTGACTTCTGGGTATTTATCTAAAGAAAACAAAAAACACCAATTTGAAAGGATATATGCACCCCCATGTTCACTGCAACACTATTTATAATAGCCAAGATATGGAACCACCTAAATGTCCACAGATAGATGAATGGATGAAGAAAATGTGGTATACATACACAATGGAATATTATTCAGCCATAAAAAAGGAAATCCTTCCATTTGCGACAACATGTATGGACCCTGAGGCATTATACTTAAGTGAAATAAGTCAGATAAATAAAGACAAATACTGTGTGATCAGAATTATATATGGAATCTAAAAAAAAAAAAAAAAGAACTCATAGAAATAGAGAACAGATTGATGGTTGCCAGAGGGTGAGAATGGAGGTGGGGAGGGGTGAAGACGGTCTAAAGGTCCAAACTTCCAAGTATAAGATAAATAAGTTCCAAGATGTAATGTAGAGTGTGGTAATTATGATTATTATCATACTGTATTGTATATTTGAAAGGTGCTAAGAGAGTAGGAAAGAAACTGTTACTTTATGTAAGGTAACAGATGTTAACTAAATTTATTGTGGTAAACATTTCACAATATATGCATATATCAAATCATTATGTTGTATACGTTACACTTACACAGCGTTATATGTCAATTATATCTCAGTAAAATGGGAGGGGAGGTCGGATAAGTAGCTTGCTCAAGACCTGTAACAGCTGAAATTTAAATCTAGACCCACCAAATTTCAAATTCCATGCTGTTTTCATACCAAGAGGCCTCCCCAGAATAAATGTCTATCTAATACCCTAGCTATATACAAATGCAGATAAGACAGGCAATCATCCAACGTGACATATCAAATAATATAGCATATGTATTCAAAGATATGGCCAACACTCATCATACTGTGTATGAAGCTATTTGATGAAAACATGTGTTTTTCTCTTTTACTCTTTGGAAGTCTAAGGCTAGGCTTCTTGTCCATCCACTGGCCCAAACCAGTTATTTCATCCTTATTGTTTACAAGTTCTGTTGCAAATTTTATCATGTTGTTTGACTTGATGTGTTTTTAAAATTCTACCACTCAGGTTCTCAAAACTGGTTGTTCTCACTGCACTTCTCCTCACCTCAAGTGGCTCCATGATCTGCCCCATGCATCAGGCCCCACCATTCATTCACCTGTGATTCCCTGTCATGATTGGCATTCACTCAAATTTATCAGCGCCCATCTGGGAATCTGCTTTCTCTCTCTCTTCTGATACTATTTTGGTCTCCTGATTCCTTTCTCTTATTTCTATTACCGATGGAGAGATGCCTAAGTTAAGAGGACAATCAATAGAAACTACTACTATTTCTGACTCAAGCTGTTTCTTAGAACTGTTTTAAGAGACACCAGTCTG